ATAAATAAAATAAAAAAATAGATAAAGCAATAAAGCTAAAGGTAGTGTCACTATCAACAGATCTTATCTCATCTCATCTCATCTTATCTTATCAATGTATTAAAATTTTATCACAAACTGTTCATAAGTAAAAATTTATTTGTGCACATGAAGCTATTGTAAAAAAATTATTTAAAATAAAGTTCAAAATATATTTATGACCAATGTGTTAGTAATACATAGTTAATGATGACTCTTGTGTGTTAAACTGCAAAAACATTTTGATTTGTTAAATTGATTAAATTCAATATACGAGTTAAACCTATAATTAACATTTCAGCGATACATAGTTAACATATACTTCAATATGTTGAACTAGTGTCCAAACTGGGATTTAATTTATCAAGACATTTTATAAGTTAAACGAATGCATAGTTTGTAAAGAAAATACAAACTGTAAGTATATTTAATTCAATTTATAAGTTAAAATTACCATTTAAGCACTTCATAGTTAACATGCACCCCAATATGTTAAACTAGAATCTAAAACAGGGATTGTTTTATAAAAACATATTGATAAGGTGCATGATGCATAGATTGAAAATAGAAAAAAAAATTATAATTAATGTATACATTATAATGAATTTTTAAACAACCCATACATAGAGGATATTGAATAAGTGTAAGTTCAATACTGAATTTATTGCACGAGTTGAATAAAATTATATTATGCGAGCCTCTAGAGACCGTTTAAAGTGAAATAAGAGTCATTTTTCATTGACGCGCCTATAGTATAACGCTAACATTTAACGCGTCTTTACACTATGTTAGCATAACGCTAATGACGTCACGTCAAAAAATATGCACGGCCGTGCCATACCATATTTACGGAGTCGCAAAATCGGCACGGGTGTGTGATAAATGTAGTTAACATACACCCCAATATGTTAAACTAGTATCTAAAACAGGGATTGTTTTATAAAAAACATATTTATAAGGTTTATGATGCAAAAAAGCGTATACATGTATTTACTTTCATTGATATATATAACAACTTTATGTGTTAGGATTAACAAATATATATTTCATTTGTATTTTTAGGTATTTGGAGCTCAACTCCTAAGTGTCTGTGACTTTAACGTTAAAAAAAAGACATAAATGATATCGGGCACACCGCACTGCGTTGCAATCGAATCCACCACCGTCTGCGTTGTAATCAATTTTTGTCAATTCTTTAATTAAAATGGCAATATCAATTTCCAAAAGTTCCAAAATATGGTTGTTTTGTGTAATTATCATACATACGATGCGATGCAAGTGTATCTAGGGGTAGTTTTGAGTACATAATGTAGTGTTACAAAATTAGGCAAAAGTGGCGTCCCCTCGTCAAACTGTACAGAAGTGTTTGCATAACTGGTCATGATTTGCACCCCATGCGTGTAATAAGTTGGAATAGTACATATGTGGGCTCCAGTCTCACTAGGTGTTATCAGTAGAACATAAAAACATAACGTACAAATAAGTCATAAACTTACCGACACCAGCAAAAAACTTTCCGACAGCCATGTTTTTCCACCGCTTCTGCGACGAAATCTCCATCGCCGCACCGGTAGACCCACCGCTTCTGCGAAAGCTATGGCCAGTGTGATGAATGTGTTAATCTGAAACGCGATAGTCGATAGTACGATGATGAAAACACGAAATCACGAAACTACGATGGTGAAAACGCGATAGTACGATGATGAAAACGCGATAGTACGATGATGAAAACGCGATAGTACGATGATGAAAACACGACAGTACGATGGTGAAAACGCGATAGTACGATGATGAAAACACGACAGTACGATGATGAAAACGCGAAAGTACGATGGTGAAAACGCGATAGTACGATGATGAAAACACGACAGTACGATGATGAAAACGCGAAATCACGAAACTACGATGGTGAAAACGCGACAGTACGATGGTGAAAACACGATAGTTTAGCGTGTTTTCATCATCGTAGTATCGTACTGTCGCGTTTTCATCATCGTACTTTCGCGTTTTCATCATCGTGCTTTCGCGTTTTCACCATCGTAGTTTCGTGATTTCGCGTTTTCACCATCGTTCTATCGACTATCGCGTTTCAGATCAACACATTCATAGGCAATGGCCCTAACGGCATTCCGTAGTAAACAAGTAATTGCAATGAATTCAAAATTACTAATTATCAGGCTTTTTAAAATAATTAATACCATTGTTTTCTGTAAACTTTAGCTCAGCAGATTTTTCAACAAAATGGCGGGCGAACCTGGGTGTACATTCGGAATACTTCTTAATTGACTAGACTGTCAATAAGCAGCTAGCAGTAGGTAGTGAGCATCAGACTGCCCAGTAAGCAGTAGGCAGTGAGCAGTAGCCTGTCGTTTAAAGAATTTCGTAACATACATGTATATCATTGTATATTAACTACGGAATATTGTTAGGGCCATCGTGGTTTTACTTTATTATCCAGAGGGCGACAGTGCGATGACGACAATGCAACAGTGCGATGACGGCAATGCGATAGTCCGATAACGCGATTACGACAGTACTATAATGCGAAAATGCGATGGCAACAGTGCGATAATGCGATGGCGACAATACGATAGTGCGCCATCGCGGTATCGTTATATCGCCAATTCGCCATCGCGTTATCGCATTGTCGTCATTGCACTGTCGTAATGTCGTCATAACACTATCGCACTGTCACATTGTGTCCCTCTGTAATGTATAGTGATTTACAATATGGGAATATATAGAGGATATTTGTTTGTTTGTGTGTAAGATGAAATTTTATTTCATCGAGTGAGCTTTAAAAAAAGTATTCTCACGAGTGGCGTAGCTACGAGTGAGAATACTGTTTTTAAAGTTCACGAGATGAAATAAAATTACATCTTACACAACAAACAAACACATTTTCTTTTTATTTTATGCTTAAAAACAAGTTAAAACGAATTTTCTTTGATATTGATTTTAATATTGAAATCGGTTTTCTTCACTGGTAGCCTCTATTATGTACATGTATTAGTCGAATTTCTCAAATACACGAAGTCTTGGGCTGAAAATAAGTTCGATAAGCAACGTTAAATGGCGGTGATATTATTCATTTTATATGATCGCTTGTTTTAATAATAAAAAGAAACATTTCTAGTAGGAGAAAAAGTCCAACCATCCATCCATATTTCTGTTACTTACTGCGAATTTATATTAGACCTGGCTCTGTTAAATGTAAACGGCCGCCATTTTTAAAAGTTGTGTATTTCACGGGAGGAAAATAATTGTGTTTGATTCAGAGGGATATCATTTGGATTTGTTAGTCATACACCTTTTTAAAAGAAAGAAAACTTATTTGAGGATTGTAACAGACAATATATAAGTGTTGACAGATGTGTAAACATTAAAAAAAACGGCTAGGAAATTGGAAACTTGGATTTGTTGAAAGGCTGCCTTACGAACGCTGGGTTGTTTACTTATTCTTCGGGCTGATGGCTGTCATTGCTTTTCAAGTTTTCATAAAGCATACGGCAGTTATTGCTCGTAGGATACTTAAATATGCCCAAATGTCATCAAGAACAGTTTTGCATGTGGAAGGAATGTATTTTTCAGACTGTAAAAATGAAACAAAAAAATTAAGAGACGATATTTGGTGATTGGTAATTTGGATGAATAGAAGTAAGTTTTCTTCTTTTTATTACTTTTGACATTTAAGTTATTTATCAATTTCAGCTTTGCTTTTCTCTAAACAGCCTGACATTGTCAAAATTGTCAGCAAAAATAAAATTGAGGTACCACATGGGGAAAATCTTAAAAAAGTAGTTTCGTCATTGAAAAGTGTGAAATTATATTTTGATAATTTTCACTGTGAAATTATCAAATATAATTTTCACGGATAAATCAGTAATCCACTGAAAAGCATAAAATCAATACTTTTAATTTAGTCAATAGATTCCTTTCTTCCTTTTTCTGTTTCTTTTCTTTTTTGTAATTATAAATTATTGATAAGTATCACTTTATATCCAAAGACAGGGGAAATACTTAAAGAGTTATACATACACGGAAAATGGTAATAAATTATGGACAACTTTAATATAGTCAAAAGATTTCAAATGAAAATGATGTTAAGTTGACATTTAAAAGATACAAAAATGTAAAAAAAAAAAATGTTTGTTTATTACTTATATAAAAAATGAAACAAATTATATTCATTGATCATTTTACAAAAAAAATAAAAGAAATAAAAATGTGTACAAAATAAAATTTTGTAAAGAAAATGATAAGATGATCATGTAAATTTGAACAGTCTGTGTAAAATACAAAATGAAAAGATTTCCTATAGTTAACTGGAGAGAAAAAAGACCCCTTCCAAAAAATTCTATTTACAAATGTAAAATGATTTACCCACATTCTATTTCGTCAGCTTATTCGTCAGCAGTTAAGAGCCGCCAAATCAGATAAAAGAAAGGATGTGAGTATGTGTACCGGAAGGCGATAGTCGGCAATGCGATAATGCGATGGCGACAATACGATAGTGCGATGACGACAGTGCGATAACGCGATGACGACAGAGGTCAAAATATGCATAAATAGCCATTACTGCGTAAGTAACGCAGTAGAAATAATATTATATGGTGATACATATTGAAAAAATTTATTTTCTTGAAATATTTTGGCCTATCTGATGGCATGCAAATTTAAAGACAAACTACGCATGCATGTATTTTGACACAAGCAACATTGGAACAGGCATTATTCTGTTGTAACGTCGTGTTACGTTCTATGGAAATTCAATGAAATAATGTCATTATCAATGAATTGCCTAAAGAAGGCTTTTACATTCGAGTAAAGTAAATTAAAGTTAGTCATGAATTATTGCTACTTAGAAATAGGATTCAGTTTCAACTACATGCATATTTTTCCATTCGAGACATTCAAACACAAACATTAATTTTGAATGATTTACTGAGTATGAACGGTTTCAAGAATAACAAATTGATATGTATATTTTATATGTTTACTCATCTGTTTTGTCAATGTATTTCTGAAATTTATTTCGAACAAACAACGCATGCAAGTTCACGTCCTTGTACATAAGGTGGACAGGGGAGGGAGCCACACTGAGCTTCCACCAGGTACAAAATATGCTGGTTGTCGTTCGTTCCCCCATGCGGAATAAACTCCGGCTCTGTGTCCATACACACATAGTCGTAGGCGCCACTTTTATCGTAAGTCCCGGCCATCAGGTATCCCCCATATTCCATCGTCCAATTAGAATGGCATTCTTTCATTGCTGGTGTCATTAGAATTTTACTGCGTGGGCTTTCACACACAGCACACGGCACATCTTGTTGGGATACAGCGTATGGAAATATGTGATTTGGTTCAACTATATCGATCTCTGTACCAAAGATATGTCCGCGGTATCCATGGTAGTTGCCATCGACATATCTCCCCCATGTCGGATGTTTTGGAAGACATAGATTGGTTGAACCACTTCCATCTCCATCGTAATGTTTTCCTGCTGTATATCCTTTATTGAAAATAGTAAAACGGAAAGAATAAACTTTTTAAATTCCTAAATTATTATTACAATTTCATCACGCAAGCAAAAAAAAACACATGCAAAATAGCAAAAAACACATGCAAAATAGAAGGGATACCTGTATAGACAAGTTCATTATCTAAAGGGCAGGAATTCCTTCCCCATCTGACATATGTTACACCATTTCCTGTAACGAATTTAGAAGAAAGTTTATACTCAAATAGTCAAACCAAATTTATTTAACTAAAAATACTAGTACTTTTATTGAATTCTAAGTCCTATACGGTATTCATATAAATTTTGCGAGTTGACGTTCATTTTGAACACATGATCTGAATAAAGTGAACATTCCCGAAGAAATATATTACCTGTTTTACACAACACTTGTATAGTAAAGTCTTGCAAGGTTCTTCGTAATAGTCATAATACTAAGTTAATGTCTCATTTGATAATGCGTAGCTTTCTAGATATATTGAAATATGTACTATATCATAAAACTTACTCGAGATCTGTTTCTTTAAAGCATCTAATTCATTTTGTAATTTGGCAATTGTCTGTGCTACATCTTCCTCTGAATGTAAAACCAATCTTTTCTTTGCGCTCGGTTCGACTGAAGTGATATATCGGACGAACAAAAAAAGAGTTAAAAACTTCAACATGGTAGCTTTATGACAAACAACAGACTGAATGATTATTAGAGATAAGGCATCACCAAGTCAAATTTTCTGCATATGACACCGCAAAATAATGAACTTTTCTATTGAGATAACACAGTCACAAAGGTCGTATTGTCTGTGAATAATAACTTGTCAACACTTCCTTACCAATTTGTCATAAGCAACAGCATATGAGTCCCATATCACCGTGCATATACAGTAACGCAGGAATGTGCAATTAGCGTTAAAAGTAACGCAGAATCTGTGCAACGCTATAACCAAAAAGAATAATACAATAAGTAAACAAACCAAAATATTGTATTCTAAATCAAATTTAAAGAAGTGAATTAGCACATACGGCTGCTACGACATAATACTTTAACCGGCATTACAATTTCTTTCAGGAATATGTTTAATTCTTTAGATCATTCGTGAGAAAGACAACCAGATAACCGTTTCGAAGGTGACTTTTGTGTTTCGTCAAATAAATATGTGCATTTAACACATTTAAAGCATTATTTTTTCGTATTCTGTATACCTAAAACATTTGTCAACCGAACAGTGTCATATAACAATAGATGGTAGGTGGCAAAATAGGATTTAGCTACTTTTAGTGAGATAACCGCCGTTGCTTCAGTGCTCCATTCACGAATTAGGCGTTACTTCGTAAAAATGGTTTCAATTTCGTTTTACCTGCAAAATTAAATGTAATATGATACGAGTAGATTGGAAAATGTCTCAGGTACACCTCATATAAAAACATGAAGTAATACGTTATTGTATTTAAAGATATCAACGAAACTAAAAATAGCCATCAATACGCTAGTCGGGTCGTCATTTTCACGAATAATCTTGAAAAATACACATTTTCATGGAAATATTTTTGATGAGGTTTAAGTATAATGTCTCAGCAACCGTATGCGCTAACACATTTCTTCTAATTTGGTGTACAATAAAAATGTTGGTCCATTTACTTATCGCGGTGCTCGCTTTAGCCACTAAATTGCACAATTCTGCGTTATTTTTGCACAATTCCTGCGTAATTTGCACATTCCTGCGTTACTGGATATACACGGTGGATATTGACAGCTGTAATTCGCGTGTTTGTTTAATTTCTGACTAAGAGCGTTGTGTGTGCGTGCGTGCATGTGTCTGTGCGTGTGTGATTGTTTAACTGTACACCTTTCATGATTTAGCAGTACTATAACAGTAAAAAGAATAACCTGACTTAAAATTAAATGATAAACATTGGAATGGTGATACAAAGATCTCTTTTACAAATGCCATGAACAGATATACCAGTATTGGAAAACATATTAATAAAAAACCCTTATAAACTAAATTTGAAGAAGTTTTAGTCTGAATGTCATTCTCAAAATTGAATTTGTCAGCCATTGAGTCATTGAACCTTTAAATGGCAGCTGATTTGGAACGCTTTTGTGCGTCTTTTTGGCGCAAGCGACAACACGGCAAAGCGCCAAACGGCGCGTTGTCGGACTTCCGTCTTGTCGTCCTGTCGCTAACGATGCACGCCAAACTGCGCGTTGTCGTGCGGCGTGTTGTCAATAATTGAGTAATCCTTTCTGAACCCCGTCTGAAATTGATTTAACAGCTCGATTTCAGTAGCGAACTTTCTAAAACTGTTTAAAATCATGTAAAAAAAA